TCCGGCTCTGGGATTGGCTCAATACTTGGCGAAGTTGTAACATCGTTACAGTAGTTAAGAACCAGCCTAACTAGGTCAATAGCGCTGTGGCAACTGCGGTAAGACTAGGCACAACGCTCGTACGTGCTAAAAAGATATAGTAGAAGATTCTAAATCTAATGCAAGTGTCTCGTACGAAGGATTAGTCTATAGTGTTAAGTAATTTAATTGTTTGTACATGGTGTTCGTAGTGCCAAGAAAAAGTGGCCGCCTCACTGGTTTGGCCGCCTCACTGGTGTAGTACGTTATCTTGTTTCAACGGTATTAATGTTATTTTCTTTTTTTAAAAAAAAAACTGACAGTAGTGGTGATATTCTGTCCGTAACCCAGTCTGAACACCGGGTGCGAAGAAACCCGTAAGTAAGGCGGGGAGGGGGGGAAGCTTCTATGCAAAACGCGCTTCGACCACATCACCATGTATTAGCGATGGTGTATGTACCAAGTAACAGCTAGAAAGGCGACGTGTCGTCACACCAGCAATGCAACTGGGAGAATCCATCCATCCATCCATCCATCGATCAAAAAAAAGGGAAAATGCCATGTCACACACATGCGACTTACGCGCAGGCCAATGACAAGCTGTGTGGATTCTATATGCCGATACGCCATTGTCGCAACTACACCCACGCCTCTTTTGCATGACCCCAATGACGTTGTTGGATCCCCGTCGCCAAAGCACCCGTCGCGCAATAACGACGGCAAAAAAAGTATTCGTCTATCCCTTTTCTGAAACCAGGTCCATGAACCATATCATCTACCGTGCCAGCGTGTATGTATGTGCATGTGTGTACCAGTACAGCCCCATCAACAATACCATGCCATGACACGTCCGTTGCATCCAAAATCTCACTCTGCGTCCCCCCCCCCTTCCCCGTTGCAGTGATTTCCCCGACAAACGCCGGCGCCGTTATCAGCCAGACGACTAGGTTACTCGGTAGGCGTCAGCCAGTCTAGCTAGTACTGGGTGATCGACCAGCCGGGCTATTTTTTTTCTTTCTTTTTGGAAAGAAGCGTTAAGAGCAGGGGGGGATGGGCAAGGGGAAAACGAAAGAGGGAAAGAGAAACTTTGAAAAAGCACATGTACCAAGCATTGTATATTGTACATATTATTGTATATAAGTAGTAAGTAAGACAAGCACGCACTGTACTGTACTGTACTGTACTGTACTGTATTCCAGAACAGCGCAAAAGAAATCCAAGCCAGGAGAGAGAAAAGAACACACACACACTCACACACGAGTGAGTGAGTGAGTGAGTAAGCAGCGTTAAAAGGGCGTCCCAAGAAAATAGAGAGAGAGAAAGAAGAAGAAGAAGAAGAAGAAGAGAGACGAAAAAAAAAACAAATAAAGCTTGACGTGGCCGATCTGCATCCAAACCGGGCGATTTCGACCAGTGTAGGCTTTCCCTTGACCTTTTTTTGCTGCCAGCTAACCTGCTGTTTGCGCTGCGCTGTGGCCGCATAAGGCTGAGAAGAAGAAAATAGACTTTTTTCTTTTCTTCTTCTTCTGGTCTGCATATGTAAGCACTAGAGCTGTGTGTGTGTGTGGATGTGTGTGTGGATGTGCAATGTGGGTACTTAATGGGTGGGTGGGGGGGAGGGGGACGTGAGGATGACAGCGGATGGGTTTCACGGCAAGTGTTGGGGCTTGCCCCTCTCTCTCTCTCTCTCTTCTCTCTCTCTCTCTTTCTCTCTCTCTTTCTCTCTCTCTTGCACCTTGTCCCTTGTTGCTCCCCGATGACAACGGTAGCATGGACATTTGTCCATGTGCTCGCTGCGATAGAGTTTCGGGCAGATTTCGCAGTCTGTAATGTATGGATATTGGATATTGGATATTGGATATTGGATATTGGATATGGATGAACGGGATGAACGGGATATGTGGTGAGATTAATAAGTAAGTAATTCCCTTTTTTCTATTTTCTCTCTTTCTCTCTCTCTCTCTGTCTGACTATAATTGTTCTTTTATTCGCTTTCTTTATCAGGACTGTTGTTATTTTTATTTCTGGGGGGGGGGGTTTGTTTTCGGGTTAAAGTTTCCTGGGGATGTGCGGTCGGCCGGCCGTCCGGCTCGTGCGTGTGTGCGTGCGTTGCAACCAGGGTCGTCCTCGTGCAAGAAAGAGAGAGAGAGAGAGAGGCTGACATACATACATACATACACTACGTATGCATGCATGCATCTCAAGCTAGTCAATATCGCCCTTCCCAAAAAAAATAAGATACGATATTGCCCGTGTAGTATCACTTCCAATATCGTATGTAGTATATATTTTTTTTCCCAAGTCCTGGGTCCAAGGCGTCGGGATATGCATTAGGAAGATGCGTTAGGAGAGATGGTTCAAGGTTACGGGGGTTAAGTTTGGGGGCGACTAGGATTATTGTGCGCTTCGTGTTAAAGGGGGGAATGAAAATATGTCGCTGTTTTTATCATGGTTTTATTGTTGAGAAGGCTTACGGGTGGGGAATTTTTTCTGGGGGGGGGGACCCTGGGTAATAATGCATGTTCGGCATTTGACGCGTGAAATAGGGTGGTGGTGGGATTTTGAGTTTGCTGTTGGGGTTGAAAGGTCGGTTTACAGCACAGGTTTGTATGGAGTGAGATAAGCGATGGCGAGGACAGAGATTCAATCCATCATTATTTTTATTGTTATTTGGCATGACTTAACATGCCTGTTTAATTAGTGCCATACCAAATTCCAGTCTTTTACAGCGGTCTAGCATCATTATCCCTCCACCGCCCTCTTCCCCTCCTCCCCCTTACCTCTTGTCCTCCACCTCCAAACACGGGCGGCGCTTCTCTTATCCTTCCCTCGGTGTCCTCTCCCTCATCCCCAGCCCCATCAACAGGGCTATGCAGAATCATATAGACGCGCCAAAAACGCAGTGGAATGATGACGAAATTTTGCCTTGGGTGGCGCTGACGGTCAGATGTAGGACTGTGGGGTTCAGGACTGGAAAGGTTAGACTCGGGCATTTTGGATGCGTTAAGGGTTAGAGTGTGGGTATGCTATGCTTCTTACGAGTATTTGGGGGGATGTGGGAGGAGGTATATGCATTATGTCTTTGAATTCAACGACTACTTTCGCTGTGTGAAGTGCGCACATACAAAGCCTGGTAGGCAATTATAGTGTTGGTGTTGTGTAGTGAAGCGCCCATGTCACGACTAAAACTTCAATGGTTGAAACACTGATTCTTCATTCAAATCCGACTGCCTCCATCCCACTATGACCCACTCGTTCCCTCATTCCCTCACATGACATGACATCCCGGTCCGTATATCGGCACACTGTGTATACCCACTCCCATAACTACACAAGTGCGCAGATCGGCGTTCTGATAGATCTCATGGTTCTGCATGTCCACTACCACTGCATCATCTATTGTTGCTTTATACCCACATGCGTATGCGTATGTGGATGTGCAAATGGTAGAAATGGCCGACAAGTAGTAGCGCAGCAGCGAGCTCATCATATCCGCCATTTCCCAATTTCCCTTTTTATTTTTATTTTTTTTTTGAATCGCCCGCAGGTTGGTAGTCAAGTCCGCTTCAACTCGATACTCTCTCGTATTCTCGGTATCCGTGGCTTCGTTGTGATGGATTTCGTTCTGCGTTGTCGTGTCTCGGGGCCAGCCAGGATATGGTAGTTATGACGGTGAGCTTTCTGTTCAAATCGGGCTAGAGCGATGGCGAGAACAAAGTAGAAAAAGGATTTGTCCAAGATGCAATAGTGGATACGAGGATCCAGGTGCTTTGGGATCGTGATTAGGTCGATTGGTTGGTTGGGTGGATGGGATGTTTATTTGTACAAGACCAAGGAGAGGGGTTCATGTATTACCGAGCTGAGTAAGTAGTAAGAAAAGACGGATAATGCAAACTGGCCCGGTGGGTACTTTAGTATTGTTTGGTGGTGAGATGCTCGTCGTGAATGTGAATATCCTGCTGTGTGGACGAGGACAATGCTAAGGGTGAGTAGAGTTGGCGTGCTATTGTTCTATTAGATTAGCCAGACTGTGCAAGTCTCGCAGTATATTTGCAAGACGATTATCTTCATATACAAAATTTTTTTTTCTCCATTCATTTACACACTTATATATACAGCTACTTATGTACCATACCAGTTCCTCTATACATAAAGGTGTATATTACTTAGTATCATTAGTCATCATCGCCATTAAACATTGTATGAGTAGTTGTCAAGACCAGCAAGACTGAATGCGAGCGATACCAGCGCCAGCACAGCATCAGCGTGGCTTAGTTGCCCTTTGCCTTCTTTCCCGTTGCCTTGGCCTTGCCACCCTTTGCCTTTGTCGTGGCCTTTGCAGCGTCACCGGCATTAGCACCAAGCACATTCTTTGGGTTGGTTCCGGCCTTGTTGTTTATGACCTGGCCGCCGCTCATGCCGCCCTTGGGACTGACGTTGTTTCTTGCTTTTGCAGCCAGGTTCTGGTACTGGGCGACGGCGGCAGCATTAGGGGGGTTGATGACCATGACCATGCCTGATTGGCAGTGCTGGGCTTGCGAGCAGTAGATGTACATGGGTGCGGTGTCGGTAATGGGAACCATGAACATGGGCGTGTTGCCAGCTTGGCGGTTGACATTACGGCCGTTGCCTGGATTGGGGCTGCCGTTGGGGTTGCCTGGGATGGGCTGGAAGTCGGAGAAGATGGCGTTCTTCTCCGGGCGGCAGGGCGTGTTGGCATTGGAGGAGGCAACGCTGTGGTTCTGGGCCACAAAGTTGAATGCAACCATGTCTCCAGGCTGAGCGGTGATGGAGTTTGGTGTAAACTGAAACTTGTTGTTTGCGGCCACGGTAACTACCATGGTTGCAGCGGACACGGCCAGGCTCTGTGCGAGCACCGAGTATAGGATGGTGGATAGATGCATGGCGGAAGATGAAAAGTAGTTTTGATTAGGAAAATTATGAATTCAGAGTAGTATTGGGACTTTTGTTGGTGGGGCAAGTAAAGGGTGAGTGACGATTGACCTGCAACTATGTCCTTAGCAGGTTACAGTCGGCAGCCCTGATAAATAGACGGGTTTGAGTGTGCCTTGGAGCCTCGCTCATGGCAAATGCCATGGTCGCCTTTGCAAAGACGGAGGTTGATGCTGTCCAAAACCATGATTCGTAGCCTCGAGACGTTTGCCGGGTGAGGCAGAGAGGGTGGTTATGGAATGCAGGTGGTGCTGGATGTTTGTGGTGAGTCTCATGCCAAGTTCCAAACATGTAGAAACGCTGAGGTGGGTCGAGTGAAGGAAGCGGCCAAAAACACTGGAGGAATGGTTGGGTCAGTTCAAGCAAACAAGCATTTTGGTGTTTTGTGCGTTGCAGATGGAGTGGGTCTTTCAGCCACCAAACACATCGGATTTTGGTGACCCGGGGTTCTCATAAAGACGACGGGTTTTGGTCAAGATGGGCAGGTTGCTGGCGTGTTGGGCTTTGTTTTAGTGTCTGGCAGAGGCTTGGAGACGTGGGCGTTCTTTGCTGGCTCGAGTGCATGTTTTTTTTTGCAATGTTTTGAAAAGTGGGTCGGGCCAAGTCAGTGCGGGTACACGAGTGCTGTTAGCCTGCAGCGGACAAAGGTTAGTATGGTTGATTGTGCGGGCGTTGAGAGACGGCTCCGGACGTGTAGTCTTGTTGGTCATGGTTGTTGGTACGAGTGCAGCAGAAGAATGAACAAGGGTAGATAGAGTGACGCTGGCCATGGGGAAAAGGTCGCCACGGGGTCGAAACATGCAGCCTCGTGGCACCATGGAGTGGCAAGGTGGATGGCCATGTGCCGTGAAACAGCAGCAGTAGCGCACAAAGGTTGGATGGAGGGAAAGGGCCGAGATATACAAGGCTCGCTGGGAGGCGCGGCGCAAGTGGCGCAAGCTTATTTTTCGGCACCGCGAGCGTGAGGGTGCAGATGAGCAACCGTGGTAGCTGACTTGGTAGGCCGGGCTCTAGAAGCGCCTAGCGCGGCTGACACGTCGACGGAAGAGGCGTAGTTGCAGGTGAGATTGGAGCATTGACGACGGGCTGGAGGAGGGTCGGGAGGCATTGCTCGTCGTGGGCGGGTGGGAGGCGGGCAGCGAGTTGAGAGCATGTTTCACCGTGGGCGTGAGGGTTTGGCAAGGCAGCCTCTGTGCCGAGATGAGGGAGCGGGGCACGGGCCAGCTGGGAGTTGAGACGGCGCGACGGTTTCAGGCAGGGCGGCGGCAGGCGAGGGGGCGTGGGTGGCATTGGGTGGCAGTGGGTGGCATGGAGCAGCGGCGGGAGTGGTGGGAGTGGTGGTGGTGGTGGTGTGGCAGTGGTGTGGTAGTGGCAGTAGTGTGGTAGTGGCAGCAGTGGTGTGGCAGTAGCAGTGCAGCGCGGGCGTGATTGGGCAGGCGGGTCGAGCGCTGCTGACGGAAGGCTCGACGTATATTTAGACCGAGCTGGCCAGTAGCGGCGCGACGTGGCATAGGCGCCGTTGGAGCGCCTGCCCGCCTGCCCGCCTGCCAACGACTGGCTGGTAGACGCCACGCTACCACTGCTGTCTGGTGCGCGCGTCTTGCGGTGTGTGCTAGACGGCCATGACGGTCTGCTGCTGCCGCACATGGAGCCGTCGCTGCGGGCGCTGCCTGAAACACGGCCTCGCCCTCGACACGGCCGAACGCTTTGTATACAGTGGGCGAACGGGCGCATAGCAGCAGCACCCAGGCCGCCATTGCGCGTCGCAGGCCCGCATGCGCACGCAGGAACGCTGCCGTCCGTGTGATTGCGCATCAGGCCCAGCGTTTCAGACATGGCCGCCAGTCGCTGTCGCTGGGGCGCCCGCCACCCCAGCCCGGCCTAGCGCCAATGCAGCCTGCAGGGTCGCTGCTGCCACCCTCGACCCCCGGCCCGACTGCTGCCCCCCCCCCCCCGCCCGACGGCCCAATCCCATCCCATCCCTCGCCTCGCTCCCTCGCGCCCTCGCGCCCTCGCTTTTCTCTCTTGGCCCCCCCCCTCCTCCTCACTCGCACGCCTCCTCTCTCCTTCTTCTCCTCCTCCGCTCCCATACATCTCTCGCCCCTTCCGCCCGCCTTCTCTCTCCTCCTCCTCCCTCCCCCCGCCGCCGCCCGCCCCCATCGCGCCCTTTCTCGCCCTCGCTCTCCTTCAAATCTTCTACCTGCTCTCCGCTTCTTTGCATCAGCTTATCCTATCCTCCGCCTAATCTGCCATTGTGTGCGAGCGCGCCAGTCCCGTCGCTCCACCACCACCACCACTGCCACTGCCACCACTGCCACTGCCACCACCACCGCCCGCTACCCATCCAAGAGAGACCAGCCAGCTTGCCCCAGTCGACGCTCCATCCACCAGCTTGCCTGCCCCGGATCCCGTCACGGCTCTGTTCGTGTATTCACCTTTCATCCCATCCAAAAAATTTCATCTTCGCCGCCTCCGACGAGCTTTTTCTGCGCCGGGTCCCGCCTTCCTGCCGCGACACGCAATCCTTCCCACGCACGCTCGCACCAACCACAGACCTTGTTAATAGCTCCAACTACATTGCCCATCGGCCGGTTTTCGATACACTCCACCCGCGCACACATACACACACACACCCACTGCCTTACTCGCTTGATCGCAACGATCCTTAATCCCCTAATCGCCAGCCCGTGCGTCTTCTTCGATTCTGCATCCTTTCTCGTGTGCCCTGCACGCCCACATACCCTTCGTTGCACCCTTGGCCTTTCTTCGCAACTCTTCTTAGACCACCACCCACCACGACAATGAGCATGGACGCTGGCGGTCTTGCTCAAATGACGTACAACAACTCCAACCCCTCGCTCCAGTCGCAGCCTGGCTTCGGCGGGCCCACCTCGAGCTTCGCCTCTCGCGGCAAGGGCGCCCAGCTCAAGCGCCTCAGCGTTGCCTCGCCCCCCAAGGTGGCCTCGATTGCCGAGGACTCGATTCCTACGCCTCGCACTAGCCGCTCGCACCTGCTGGCTGGTCTTCGCACGGCGCCCAAGACGCCCACGTCGGCACAGCCACCCGCCTCGGCCCCTTACTCGCAGGCCCAGCACTCCGTCGCTGCCAACAACGCCGCTGCCGCCAACAACCGCATGCCCCGCCAGTACAACGGTGCCCCCCAGCATCACCACCACCAGCAGCAGCCCCAGTCTGCCATGGCCTCTGGCTTCCGCGGCGTCAACCACTTCAACCAGCAGCAGCCCGACTACTACAACCAGGTCTTGGCCCCTCCCTCGTTCGAGTTTGACGACGGCGACATGGACCCCAACGTGGCCGCCCAGCTGCTGGCTACCGAAATGTACCTCGCCCAGAGGCAGCAGCAGCTCCAGCAGCAACTGCTTGCCCTGACGACGCAGCAGTTTGGTAGCATGAGCATGAACGGCATGCAGCAGTACCCCAACACGCCCTACACGCCCCAGTTGAACGCCTACGGCCAGCAGTTTGGCAACACGGCTGCCATCCAGGAGACCAACCAGCCTGGTGTCTATCTCGTCTTCAACCAGATGACGGGCCAGTACCAGTACGTGGTCGACCCGAGCTACCAGCAGGACAACGCTGCGCAGGCCCACGCCGCCATGGGCATGTCGCACTCGCCGCCTCCTCCCACGCCCCACTTTGCTCAGTCCCCGCCCAAGATGGACACGCCTGTGCTCCACGTGTCGCCTCCCAACGAGAGCAACCCCAGCCCCTGGGGCTCCCGCAGCACCTCGCCGCCCAAGAAGTCCAACACGCCTCCCCAGGACGTGGTTCCGCTTCCCCCGCCATCTGCCAATGCCTTTCGCCGTGGACACAAGAAGAACCCCTCTTCTCTTGCTGTTGACGCAAAGGGCGAAGCAGCCGAGGGTCCCCGTTCTGCACTCGGCCGCGCGGCCGGCTTCCCTGCTACGCCAATGACGGGTACTTTCGGCCCTGGTCAGGCACGTGCTGGAGAGCACCCTGTCCGCCAGCCACGCAACCCTCCTTCGATTGAGGAGCTCAAGGAGCGCCCCACGACCAAGCACGAGGGCAGCAAGAACTTTGCTACCCGCCAGCGCCGCCAGGCCGTGGGCAACCTTGTACGAGCTGGCATCGGACGCCGCGCCCACCGTACTGGCAGTGGCAGTGCCTCTCCAGACAGCGAGCACTTTGGCTCGTCTGACAACGACTCGGACAGTGTCCGCAGCGGAGGTAGCGGAAGCCTTTCGGGTAGGCCCAGCATTGGCAGTCTTCGTGCCGTAGCCAATGGCGCCATTGGCTCGGAGCGCAAGGCTTCCAAGGAGCGCTCTCGTGACGACTCCATCAACCGCAGCTACACTGCCAACAGCGTGAGCAGCGACGATGGCGCCTCTGTCGGTGGCGGCCTTGTCGACATTCGCCCAGAGGAGAACGGCCAACGCCGTGCCATGCCCAAGCTCATTCTCACGAGCACCGAAAAGCGCAAGAGCCCCGTCTACTAGACAATCCATCTTACCGGGCATGGGAACGAGAACCCTTGGGGGGGCCTCTTTTACTCTCTTGTGCATATTACTGTGGCACTCTTCCCATGTGCTCTTTCACGGCCCCTTACGACTCTGTTCTTTTTTTTTGCCCATTTATCTGTCTTGTTTTGTGCATTCGGCCAAGTTTACTTCATCATCTTTCCAAGATTACGATTACCCTTCTTGTTTTCCTCTGGGAAAACCTTCTTTTCCCCATCTCTTCTTGCTTCTCGGACTGTTATGCGGATTGCTTTTATGAGCATGGTGGGGGCTCTGGTTTTGGGACCGGCGACTTGGTTTACGCTTCACGGACAACGAGCTCTATTGCCTGTGGCTAGAGATCATTGCACTCGTTGGGCTTGTCTTTCTTTTTTTGTGTTATCATTGTTCTGAAGAATGTATCCAGTCGTTTGTGGCGTGGATGGCAAGGCGGACAAGAGACGAGTGGATCATGTAGGATGAATCAACAGTCACTCGCTTATATATGTCTTGTCATGAAGTGAGCTGTGAATTGAGCCGTCAAGCGTAAATTGTGTGAAACGTGGTGTTTAGCTAGTGACGTCGGGCTCTAAGCTGCTGATCCGGGGGATTGCTTCATCTGTGCTTGCCGAGGAGGCTGGGGATTACTGCAATCTCGGTATTTCAGCCTTGAAGAGCCGGTGAACGGGGATCGACAAGAGTGGTGGGTGATTGCCAGCTAGAGGGATGGATCGCTAAGCCGCCGAACCGGTTGTGTTAGGTGTGGGTGTGGGTGGTTAGTCTGACGCGGGCGGGGCAAGTCGCGGGGCGGGCTCCTTGGGGGATAGCTACCTACCTACCTATCTACCTACCAGCAACAGTTTTTTTTTTTTTTTTGAGCCCAACATTTTGGCCCAAGCATCGACGACGTTCCCCCGACGGCTGTGGAAAGGCGCATCACGGCAATTTTACTCTTACGCACGAGGACACGAACGCACGCATACACATACAAAGTCTCGCCACTACGGACAATGGCAGAACCCCCCATCGCACAGCCCATCACACCCCCACCACCACCATCGGAACCACAACAACAACAACAACAACAACAACAAGACACAACCACCACCACTCCACTTCCCCTACACACGCCCCCACCGCCCTTTACGCCCTCAACCCTCACGCCACTCACCCAAGGCGCCGAAGCCCTCGTCTACAAAACCAGCTTCCTCACCCCCAATACACCCGCGATCCTCAAGTACCGGCCGCCGAAACCATATCGCCACCCGGTGCTCGATCGCCGCCTCACGCGACAGCGGCTGCTGGCGGAAGCGCGGGGCCTCGTGCGTGTGCGGAGAGACGGCGTTAATGTACCGCGAGTGCTGGGCGCGGACTGGGATGCGGGCTGGATTGTTATGGAGTTTGTTGAGGGAAGGACGGTGAGGCGCGTGTTGGATGAGTGGGTTGCTTCTGGTACTAGTACTGGTACTGGTGCTGGGAATGGAGAGGGGGCTGGAGAAACAAGAAAAGGGAAACAGGAAGAAGACGAAGAAGAAGAAGAAGAAGAAGAAGAAGACATTCTCAATCTCATGCGCAGAGTAGGTGCTCAAATCGGAAAGCTACATGCCCTGGGTGTATGTCACGGAGACTTGACAACGAGTAATATCATGTTGCGCTCTCCTCCTTCCCCTTCCCCTTCTCCTTCTCCCTCAACCACTTCCCCATCTACCCCCTCACTACAAGGCGCCATCTACCTCATCGACTTTGGCCTAACCAGCACCTCCATCGCCGACGAAGACAAAGCCGTCGATTTGTACGTTCTCGAGCGCGCTTTTAGCGCCACGCATCCCGCTGCCGAGCCGCTGTTCCAAGAGGTGCTGCGCGCATATGGCGTCTCGGGGAAAGATGGGGGCAAGGCGGCGCGAAGGGTGTTGAAGAGACTCGAGGGCGTGAGGTTGAGGGGCCGGAAGAGGAGTATGCTTGGGTAAATGGGGATGGGGATGGAGTGAAGCGTGGGAGAGCGAGGGGGGAGAGAGCGAGAGCGAGGGGGGAGAGAGAGCGAGAGAGAGGGAGAGAGAGAGCGAGAGAGAGGGAGAGAGAGAGCGAGAGAGAGAGTGTGTGTGTGTGAGGGAGGGAGAGAGGGGAGTTATGAGTATCATCATGGAATTCAAAAGCACAATATATACCCAGAATGATTTGAAACGAAGCCATTATCAGCATGGAGCTACGAGAAACAAGAAACCTACATCTGCACAAGTACTAACATGTAGGAACCAATACTTATGTTCGGGGTCGACATGAAGAAATCACACAGACATCACCATCACCATCACCATCACGCAAGAGTAGTAACGAATAAGAACATGGAAAATAAGGAGAACAAGACGAAAAAAGTAGTCGACAAAAAGATGAAAATAAAAAAAAATTTTTGATCAGAAAAGCGATAGCAATAGGCTGCTAACACGTCAAAGTTAGAAAAAAAATTCCTGCCGTCAAAAAAAAAGCCAAGGCCGCATTTCCCACCAGGTATAGATACAAAAATCTTTCAAACGCCAAATAAGCAATAGGGCTTGATACTCATGACCCATACCACCACCAGTCCTTTGTTTCCCTGCGTACCAGAACCCAACAAAAAAAAAGGATAACGCCAGGAGAAATCTCCGCCACGTAACAGACACGTGAAAAAAAAAATAAAAACATTCGACGCAAGTCCAGTCTAATCGTCCTTGACACTAGCACTCGCATACCCGTCATCCACATCCGACTCTTCCTTCTTTTTCCCCTGACCCTTGAACTGGTCTAGTCCAATAAGACTCTTGCTTGCGTCAATGCAATTGCTTACAATCTTTGCCCTGACCTTATTTGACAGACCACTGCGCTTGCCAGTCTCGTGACCCACCCACATGCGCAGAGAACTAGCCACCCTTTCTAGGCCTCGGCTAGTCTCCTTCCTCAACCCGTCGTCGGCCATGAACTGCGTAAGCACCTTGTAGCCGGCAACAAAGCTGAGGAGTGTGGTAGTTGCCTCAGGGAGATAGGTATTGTTGATGACAAAGACGGCGCGGCGGCGTGCTTCCGGAGTCGAAAAGGTAGTCAGAGAAAGGCATTTAGCGAGCGTAAGAGCCTTGCGCACGTCGGGTGCTACAAAGCCGTTACCCACAAGGTTGATGAATCCCGAATCAGCTGGCTTGGGCGTGGACGGGAGAGCTTCAAGAGCTGTTGCAATGTGCACATCACGGCCCTCATCCTGCACGACAGCTTGGGCGACAAGAGCACGAAGCTGGGCTTGCGAGTTGGGAGGCGCGGACCGCAGAGCGAGTTCAAAGTCTGCAACCATGCTGGCCTCTGATGTGTCATTCTTGAATCCAAGTGTTTTGGCAAGGCCCTTGTTCAGTACGAGGCTAGAGTACCAGGCGGCAAGTGCATCCAAAGGTGAGCAGATGGCAAAGTCTTCGACAACAGCATCCATGGAGGTATCCACAGTCGTCTGCTCCGCACTGGGCTTGTTCCAAGCAAGGTTGTATGCACGCTGTACGACTGCGGGAACGAGCACTTCGTCGCACTCCTTGTCAATGAGTGCGGCGAGGTGTTCCGGCAGTGGCTCGACTGCACTGTTCCTTTTGGGTGCGTTGGAGGCGATGCGGTGCTCGCTGCGTGCCATGTTCCAGTAGCTGCGTGCCAGTTTCGCGCTCAGGTCGTTCAGTGTCCACCAGGAACTGTGGCCAATGCTGCCAATTTCCCAGAGGACAATCCGAATGTGCAGAGCCTTGAGCATTAGTCGCGCGGGCGTGTCGGGCAGTGTTCCCGAAGCAATCAGCGTGAGGAGGAGACGGCTCTTGCTAATCTCTGCGTCGCCGCCAGTGAGCTGAGCGTCGAGCGCAATCTCCCAGGCTTTGAGGCGTGCGGCTTCCTGCTCCCGGGTGATGCCGGTGAGGTACGCGTAGCCTTCCCAGCCAATGATCCTGCGCATGCTAAGCTTCAGTGTCTTCAGGCCTAGTGCAGCCACCTCGAGAATAAAGTTGTGCTGCGGTACCCAGACCGTCTGGATGGCAGTGAGCCATGCCTTGCGACGCACTTCAACAGGCGATGCGAGCGACGGTGCGGGTGACAAGAGAACAGCAGGCGCAGACTTCTTCTTGGACTTGGGCTTGGCGTCGAACAGCGGAGCGATGAGGTAGAAGAAAGCGCCAAAGATCAAGAGAAGCTTGGCAAGAGGGATCGAGGCTGACGACGCGCCAAGTGAGACACGAGGAGCAAGAATGCCGGCCAGGTTGACAGGCAGGGCGAACAGGCCGCGACCAGCGGGCTCTTCTTGCGACTGCTCGCGCTCGACAAGGCCCTCGAGTATCATCAGGCCGGCGAGCGACCCCACCATGAGCTTACCCATCATTGCGCCACTGCGACGTGCGTTGACCATGGGCGGGCCGACTGTCTGACGACCACCGTAGCCGGCGGGGTAGGCCTGAGCATAGTGCTGCTGTGGCGGCAATCCGCGCTGCAGGGCGGCAATGTTGTCTGGGACGGGAATCATGCCCTGCGGCGGTACCGACATTGGCAGGCCGTGAGTGGGTGGGAAGGGGTCTTCGTGGTACCGTGAGGCGTCAGGTGGGCTGGTTGTACCGTGGATGGTCATGGGTCCTGAAATAGCCATCTTCTCGTAGCTCTCGACGCGACCCTTCATGGTATTCAGCTCATCCTGGAGGCGCTTGTTGCGCTTCTCCAAGTGGCGGATATACTCGGTGGCCTTTGACAGGACGGTAGCCTTGTTGAGCTTGTGGGCTGGGGTGAGGCCCTCGAGATCCTCGGGGTCGTCATCCTCTTCGGTGCCGTTTGGCCGCGACATGACGCGCAGACTGGGAACACCTAGAAACCGTCAGCGGGTGTTTACAGCAGGCGTGGAGCAAACATACTATCACGAAGGGCGGCAATCTTGTCGTTGAGATTGGTGCGGTATCGCTTCTCAATCATGTTGTGGGCCGTCTTCTTGGGGGGCGCGCCGCCCTTTTTGCTCGACGGCGCATCATCATCGGGTTCCTCGGAGTCGGCCAGTGACTTTCGCTTCCTCGCGTTGGACGGGGCAGGTTCCGGTGATGAATGCGATGAGGTTGAGCTGGATCGGCCGTTGTTCAGCGAGTTGGGGCTGTGGTCCAGACTGGGAATCGAGTCGGACGGCGGCGGAGGCGGAGGCGCAAAGGCCGACTGTGGATATTGCGAGGGAGAGAAGAGGGAGTTGTCTGGCAGTTGCTGTTGTTGTTGTTGTTGTGGTGGTGGTGGTGGTGGTTGTGATTGGCGTTGTTGTTGCTGTTGCTGCTGCTGTTGTTGCTGCCATTGCTGGGCAGAGTAGTATGCATTTTGCTGCTGCTGCTGTTGCTGCTGCTGCATCTCTCCACCAAGCGGCGAACTCAGGGCGGCGCCGTTAAAGTCAAAGGCCAGGGGCACGTCGGCAGTCTGGCCAAAGGTGAAGGGAACATCGTGGGGTTGGGTAAACATGGGGGTGGTGGCGGGTGTGTTGGTGGACTGCAACGGCTGCGACTGCGGGTGATGGTTGATATGAGGCGAGGGTTGGTGACGAGCCCTGGGGTATGCGGCAGGCCCCTGTGGATTTGCCGACTTGGGTTCGGCAGGTTGGGAATTCTGAGACGCCTGGGCGGGGTCGTAGTGCATCCATTCGTTCCAGTCTGTGGTTTCGTCGGCTGAGGCAGTGAGCGTCATGTCGTCGGCGGCTGTCGTGAGCCACGGGGCGCGCATGGAGCCAAAGGGAAAGTCACTCGACAGCATGGGATCCTCCATCTTGGTGGGCGGCTGGTGGGCAGGCTCAGGGTTGGCCCGGGACTGGGGCTGGCGGCTCTGGGGGAGTCTGAAGTCGTCAAAAACACAGTAAGGACCGACCTAGATGGGGGGGGGAAATGAGTTAGCAGACGGGGTCAGCGGCGAAGGGGAGGGGGGGGCAGCGCGACGGCGGCACACACGGCGATTCGCTCCAGCTCCAGCCCGTCGTCGGGGCTGGCGTAGGGGGGGTCAGAAGCCATGGAAACGGGCGTTCCGTCGGTACACGGGCTACACTCAAGAGCGTCCGCGCGCGCGCGCAACAACGACAGCAGGCAGCGATGGCGGCGGCAGCAGCAATAAGACTAGGAAAAAAAGGACTGGGGCGGAGCGATATTGGGGGGGGGGAGAGGAGGGGAGGCAGCGCGGGCGACGAAGGGGAGCGTGGTCTTACCAGCAGCAGTCTCGACGATCAAAATCATGCCACTCTCGGGTCTCGCAGAGGGATGCACAAGGCGACTGCGGGCGGAGGCGGCGGGCGGCGGGCGGCGGCGGGGGATGCGGGCAGACAGCCCTTTGCGCTGTGGTTGCGACAGGCAGGCCAGGCCACCGATTGCAGCTGGGAGCACGCGGCGGATGGCGGATGGCGGATGGCGGATGGCGCTCACAGCAGCACGCGGCGGCGGCGGCGGCCTTGCAGCCCTCTCACAGGCGGGCTGGCCACGACAGGCTGGTGCTGGCAACTGGCGAGGCCGTCGCAGGCACAGTGGTCCGACAAGTCGTACGATGAAATGGCGCTGCGACGGGGGGGCGGGGGGGGGAGCGAGGGGGAGCGACAAAAGCCCCACGAGAATTCCGTCTTGGGCCACTCGACCGGCCAGCGCGCGGTGCAGCAGCAGCAGCGGCGGCGGCAGCGCTTGCGGGATGCCGACCGATGCTGTCGTGAGTGCCGGGCGAGGGCGCGGGCGGAGAGGCGCGGCGGGCGGCGGTGCGAGCGGTGCGAGAGACGCGAGAGATGCGATGGATGCGGGCGACGGGGGCGACGTGAGGGTGTGTGTGGCTCTGCTCACCGCGGCGACGAGCGAGAGAAAAGAGGGGAGAGCTGGGCCCTTAAGTTTGGGCGTGTGGGCGTGGGCGGAGGTGAGGCTGTCCCTGCCACAGTGAATCCCTGCCCGCGCCCGGCTTGGTAGTCGCGGTCGCGGTCGCGGTCGCTGCTCCCAGCCAGCGCCAGATGTAATCTAACCACGCGCCGCCGCCACTCACAGCACGCCGCCGCGCCTGTCAGGTCAAGTCGACATCGCAGTCCAGTGCAGGCTGCAAGCACAACCTCACCCGAACCATTATCGCCATGCCCACGCCAATGCCAATGCCCACTGTCGACGCCATGCTAACCGCCGCACCGCCGCCCGCCGCCCGCCTAGCCGTGTCGTGACGTGACGGGTGGCTGATCCCTCGCCCCTCGCCGCCAGCCAGATACTGCTACTTCTACCACCACCACCACTGCTACATAGACCCTCTGGCTCCTCTCCGCCCCGCCGCCCTACCATGGTACCGCCGCCCGCACCAGCTGCTTGGCCGCCCGTCCGCCGCCCGTCACTACCGCTCTCCTCATTTGCACGTCGCTGACGACATGCCGCGCCCATATCGACATCACCGAGCCCATTCCACGCCCGCCAAGGCCTCCCACTGCGGCCCTTCAAGCGCCTCGTCGCTCCTGCTGCCAGTGCCCTCGAGTCCCTTCGCCCACGGGCATGTCCCTGCTTGGTGAGCATGACCTGCTACGCCCTCTGGCTGTCCTGAACCGCCTTGTGTCGGAACACGACTTGCCCAGAGCTACACTGCTCGCCGTCCGAGTCCCTTTAGGCGCCCGTACATGTCGTATACTTGTGGCAGCCTCCATCTGCTATCCATACCCTCTCTCTCGACCGTCCTGGGGTATCCACGCATCAAAGAGGGCAAGGCGAGGGCTGATGGAGAAAGTTGGAGACCCTGCCCGACCAAACAACAAGCCGTCTGTGGTCCCGAGTCAGTCATGGAGGAGAATAGGAGGCATGCAATATATCGCAAGCACTTCTCGTTCGCGACGGAATACTTGGCCGCGCCCACTTGTCCATAACCTTGTCAGCATTCACTCCCGAAGAATACGCGGACGCAGACATGAACATAGTCCCCATCTAACAGACTTGCTTACTGTGCCACGGACACGGCGTCTAGCCATTTATGCCTGGGCTATGATGGAGAAAGAACAAGCCCATGCTGTTGTTAAAGTTGAATTAGGTGTCCAAGTGGCTTGTTACGCCTTTGCTAGACACGAGCGACGTCCACTACAAGTGGCATGTATGTTCATGGGAAGGCATTTGAGGAATTCAAGTGTAGTGTCCAAGACCATAACTTGGGGCACAAAGCCACCATGTTATACCAGTCCACCAGTCTTTGTCATTGTGCATGAGCCGAGTACAAACCCTTTTGGGCGCGTGTATGGGAAGGGGGGGAGCGCGCAGAAACACCAACACCACACCACACCACGCCACACGACGACAAAACACCCATGACAACAACTCACAACAACACTATCGATTAAAGTGCCGAATAGATTAAAGATGAGTAAGATTTTAAAATCACACTCGCGCAAATGTAATCTCATGCTCATCGTATATCCATGCATGAACACGACGTCGACGACGACGACTAAACATTAAGTACGAGGGTTAAGAGGAAGGAAAAAACCAAGTACCCTAGCAACCTTGGTAAATGACACACTCGGAGCGAGCAAGAAGAGAAGGAAAAAAAAAGGACTCGCGAGAACATGGGCACTACACACGTGCCCTCTAGCCGCTTTAATAACAAGAAATCCCCCCAAGCAAAATGCAGCAAAAGATAAAAACAATCTCGCCCTCACACACACGCACCCCGCCCGGGGCCAATCTTTAATCTATAATACCGCCGAGAAGCACCACCCACCATCTCGAGAGCGCGAAAAAAAAGTCATCATCATCATCATCATCAAAGAACACGCACACACAGAAAAGAAGGTTGGGAGCCGCCTCGACCCACTTTTCTCTCTTGGTCCCTACTCCCCACACTAATAGCAGCAAGCTGCAAGCACCCAGCAGGCAGCACAGCAGCAGTCAGTGGCAGCAGGGAGCCCGACGATGCATTTTAGATTAAACTCTCCTGGCTTCCTATTGGTTCGGTCCTGAATACCGACATGAAAGGGGATTGGGCGTCGAGGGGAGCGGGGGGGCGGCGGGGGGGGGAACATACTTATTAAGTAGAGACTAAAAAAGTAAAATAAAATAAAAAACACGAAAGTATGCCAACCAATTGGACATAGCGTCCAAGGAGCCGAAAACTGTTTATTGAATGTTATGTATGTTATGTTATGTTGTCTTGTGTTGTGTATACTGGCACGGGTTGTAGGTTGTATAGAGGGGGGAGTGTGGATGCATGGCAGAAGGAAGGAAGGAAGGAGCGGAATTAACGAGTTGACGGGTTAACAAAGTTGGCGAGATGAGATGAGATGAGATGAGTGAACGGGACGGGCGGGGGGAGTTTAGTGAGATTGAGATTGAGCTTGAAAAATGGGCGGCTAATCGAAAGTTGGAAGTGGAAGTGGGGTTTCAAGGATTCAAGCAGATGATTCAAGCACAAGGGGAGAATCGTTGAAAAAAAATGGGAAAACCGAGTCAAGCAGCACCAAATGCAGCAACGAAACGAGCTATGCAACTAAGCAGTAAGTACTAGTAATATAGTAATGATATAGTAATAGTAATAATAATATTACATTTAGAGTTACGAATAGAGTATTGGCGAGTTGACACTTTGACAAGTTTAACTTTTTGACTTTTGATATTGATATTTGATTGAAGCGGTCTTATATGCGTTGGCGTTGGCGGCCGCTATGTAAGATACTAACAGTACATACTTATACTTAGTGCCCTAGCCGCGTAACCAATGCAAATAATAGCACAAATGCTGTGCACAGAGTGCTGTGCCGAGTACCGTGCTAGTCGAGTGAAAAAAATGCATGCAATCCAAATACTTGCCAATACAAGAACGAAATGGAAAATGGAAAATGGAAAATGCAAGTCTGGCGAGAGCGCCAAATGACACGGAGAACTAATAATGACTACAACTACAACTATAACTGACTGACAGACAGACAGACAGACAGATAGACAGATAGATAGAGAACCAACAACAATAACAACAATAACAATAACATCTACACCGTGTATAGCCTTACCTATCCCTATCCCCCCCTCTCCTCCACTCGCACCTGTACCCGCACTTCCACTCGCACTCGCACTTCCCTATTCAAACAAAGTCCGCATGCAGCCCCCATAAAAAACTAAACGAAACCAGCCACACAACCTCCGCGACTAGTAATTAACCCAGTGTTTAACCAAGTCTTTAGCCCGCCTCTTCTCCCCTTCCCTCCCATCTTTTTTTTTGAACCAGAGGAAAGCTGGACGTGTAGTGTATAGGATTATTTCATTGATGTATGTATTATAATTATTGCCCTTTTTTTATTTATTTATTTAATTTTTTTTCGATAAGAAATGTATGTTCATGTTGGTAAGTAGTGATAGGTTAAAGGCTAAAGGTTAAAGGTTGAAGGGGGGGAGGGAAAGAGGGAAAAAAAACCATATCCGAGGTTTTGGAATGCGCACATACACATGGATACATGGACATACTAGCAGACACAGACACAGACACAGACACAGACGCAAATACAGATGTAGATGCAGATGCACATGTAGATGCACATGTAGATGCAGATACAGATACATTACATGCGGGGGGGGGGAAACTTTAGGGACTTGGATAATCTACTACGTACCCGATAAAACAAATACAACAACAACCTAAGAAGATATAAAATCTCCGCAGTGTAAAAAAAAAACAATACACACATACATGCACACATATTATACATGCACCTGCACGTGCATACTAGTACTACGTAGATACAGAGATACATAGATACATACAATTCACTTGCATGCATACATACCAACATTCAGATACATAGATACGTAGCATCTCCAACACACACACACACACACACACACACACACACACACACTCGGTCAATCATCCCGTAAAAACCACCCCACCCCCCCCC